TGAATGTTGTCTTTATTGCCTCACCAAGTTGCTTAATTCTGGATTAATGGTTATTTTTGTGATCAGAAAAATAAATTGGTAAAGAAGCAGGGAGTGATTGTAGAGGGAAATGTTTGTTAAAGGTTTAAAGTTTATTGTGAACATATTGTTTATGATTAATATATTGTTTATGATTATGATTAACATTTATGATTATGATTATGATTAACATATTGTTTATGATTGCTTGCCAGGTTTGCTTCCTATTGTTTTTCAATTTCCACATTACAAACTTATTAATTAATTAATGGTCTATGCCAAAATACACATATTGTGTGTATAATATGTTTGTGTGCGTGAGCTAGTATGCATAATGTGTGTGTATGTGTGTGTGTGTGTGTGCAATGTAAGCTAGTGTGTGTGTGCAATGTAATTGTGTGTGTGTGCAATGTAAGCTAGTATGCTTAATTGTGTGTGTGTGCAATGTAAGCTAGTATGTTAATTGTGTGTGTGTGTGTGTGCAATGTAAGCTAGTATGTTAATTGTGTGTGTGTGTGTAAGCAATGTAATTGTGTAGTGTGTGCAATAGTAAGCTAATTGTGTGTGTGTGTGTGTGCAATGTAAGCTAGTATGTGGTGTGTGTGTGTGTGTGTTAATGTGTAGTATTAATTGTGTGTGTGTGCAAAGCTAGTATGTAATTATGTGTGTGTGTGCAATGTAAGCTAGTATGTAATTGTGTGTGTGTGTGCAATGTAAGCTAGTATGCTTAATGTGTGTGTGTGTGTGTGTAAGCTAGTATGTAATTGTGTGTGTGTGTGTGTGTAAAAGCTAGTATGTGTGTGTGTGTGTGTGCAATGTAAGCTAGTATGTATAATTGTGTGTGTGTGTGCAATGTAAGCTAGTATGTATTGTGTGTGTGTGTGCAATGTAAGCTGTATGTGTGTGTGTGTGTAAGTGTATGTGTGTGTGTGTGCAATGTAAGCTAGTATGCTTAATTGTGTGTGTGTGCAATGTAAGCTAGTATGTAATGTGTGTGTGTGCAATGTAAGCTAGTTATTATTGTGTGTGTGTGCAATGTAAAGCTAGTATGCTTAATTGTGTGTGTGTGCAATGTAAACTAATATGTAATTGTGTGTGTGTGCAATATAAGCTAGTATGTAATTGTGTGTGTGTGTAGTATAGCAATTGTATGTAAGCTAGTATGTTATGTATTGTGTGTGTGTGTGTGCAATGTAAGCTAGTATGCTAATTGTGTGTGTGTGTGTGCAATGTAAGCTAGTATGCTTAATTGTGTGTGTGTGTGTGTGCAATGTAAGCTAGTATGCTTAATTGTGTGTGTGTGTGTGTGTAAGCTAGTATGTTAATTGTGTGTGTGTGTGTGTGTGTAAGCTAGTATGCTTAATTGTGTGTGTGTGTGTGCAATGTAAGCTAGTATGCTTAATTGTGTGTGTGTGTGTGCAATGTAAGCTAGTATGCTTAATTGTGTGTGTGTGTGTGCAATGTAAGTGTTAATTGTGTGTGTGTGTGTGCAATGTAAGCTAGTATGTAATAATTGTGTGTGTGTGTGTGTAAGCTAGTATGTTAATTGTGTGTGTGTGTGCAATGTAAGCTAGTATGTGTGTGTGTGTGTGTGCAATGTAAGCTAGTATGTGTGTGTGTGTGTGCAATGTAATTGTGTGTGTGTGTGTGTGTGTGTAAGCTAGTATGCTTAATTGTGTGTGTGTGTGTGTGCAATGTAAGCTGTATGCTTAATTGTGTGTGTGTGTGTGTGCAATGTAAGGCTAGTATGTTAATTGTGTGTGTGTGTGTGTGCTAATGTAAGCTAGTATGTGTAATTGTGTGTGTGTGTGTGTGTGCAATGTAAGCTAGTATGTAATTGTGTGTGTGTGTGTGCAATGTAAGCTAGTATGTTAATTGTGTGTGTGTGTGTGCAATGTAAGCTAGTATGTAATGTGTGTGTGTGTGTGCAATGTAAGCTAGTATGCTTAATTGTGTGTGTGTGTGTATGTGTGTGTGTGTGTGCAATGTAAGCTAGTATGCTTAATTGTGTGTGTGTGTGTGCAATGTAAGCTAGTATGCTTAATTGTGTGTGTGTGTGCAATGTAAGCTAGTATGCTTAATTGTGTGTGTGTGTGTGCAATGTAAGCTAGTATGCTTAATTGTGTGTGTGTGTGTGCAATGTAAGCTAGTATGCTTAATTGTGTGTGTGTGTGTGTGCAATTAGTAATTGTGTGTGTGTGTGTGTGCAATGTAAGCTAGTATGCTTAATTGTGTGTGTGTGTGTGTGCAATGTATGCTAGTATGTAATTGTGTGTGTGTGTGTGCAATATAGTATGCTTAATTGTGTGTGTGTGTGTGCAATGTAAGCTAGTATGTAATTGTGTGTGTGTGTGCAATGTAAGCTAGTATGTATGTTGTGTGTGTGTGTGCAATGTAAGCTAGTATGTATTAATTGTGTGTGTGTGTGTGTGTGCAATGTAAGCTGGTATGTTTAATTATTATTGTGCAATGTAATAGTATGTAATTGTGTGTGCAATGTAAAGTTAGTATGCTTAATTGTGTGTGTAATGTAAGCTAGTATGTAATGTGTGTGTGTGTGTGCAATGTAAGCTAGTATGCTTAATTGTGTGTGTGTGTGTGTGTGCAAATGTAAGCTCGTATGCTTAATTGTGTGTGTGTGTGTGCAATGTAAGCTAGTATGCTTAATTTGTGTGTGTGTGTGCAATGTAAGCTAGTATGCTTAATTTTGTGTGTGTGTGTGCAATGTAAACTAGTATGCTTAATTGTGTGTGTGTGTGTAATGTAAGCTAGTATGCTTAGTTGTGTGCGCGCGCGCAATGTGAGCTAGTGTGTATACTATTTGTATGCATACAGTGAACATGCATGTTATTTGTATGCCTGATGTGGGCATGCATGCATAATGTGTTTGTGTATGTATAATGTGTGTGTGTATAATGTGAGAATTAACATTGTGCAACAGCAAGGATCCTAGGGCATAGCAACATGAATATTTGCTGACCATTTTCGTCACTGTCTTTTGTCTGTTAGCCAGTCACTATGACTGATTTTAAAATTTCTGATACCACTCTGGCACAAATATCTCCAGGTATTTCTATCCAGGGCAACTTGCTCAAAGTTAGTATCAGGGACATTGACAGATGAGAAGTTACTCTTTAACTTGTCTTTATAAATGGTAGATTTATAAATGTGCAAGATGGATTCTGATAAGAAGAATTTTCTTACATGACACAGTGAACCAACTTTCCTACCAGTAGATGTAGCAATTGATTCTGTCAGTGGAAAACATGAGTCCGAGAAAGTTCAAATAGTTGCTCTTCTGGAATTTAACATGAGCCATGCTGATAACAGGCAAAAAAAACTTATCAATTATGTGATTAAATCAAAGTTGTTTTATTTTTATGGTGTTAAAATTTACAAGCTATTTCTTGCCCCAGTTAACCACTGATTGGAGGTTGTTTTCAAGAGTAGTTAGCAGGTTTACTTTGTCAGGTCTGTCGAACTTGCTACTAAGACAGGAGTAAATATTTGTCATCTGCATAGATGCCTAGTTGGAAACTGATGATATAGAGAACCTTGTTGATAAAGATCAGAAACAGTGCATGCCTGAGAATAGAGCTATTGGGAACACCTGCATTAATATGAAATTCAACATAATCTTCATTACACAATTTGTTAGGAAAAATTGGATTAGGCCAAATATTTGTTCAGAGTGGCCAGAATGCCACACTCTGTTGAATGCCTTTCAGATATCTAGAGCCAGAGTCTAAGCTTTGCTGTTCTCATCAAAAGCTTGATAGACAAATTCAGTGATAGCTGTTAACACATTCGATGGTAGGCCTGGATAAACGGAAGCCTCATTGTTTATTGGAAAAGAGGTCTTGTAAGATGCTTAACCAATTTGGCGGTGATTAGAGCCTCTAATACTTTGCCAATAAGGTGATAATTCTAGGGATCAGAATGTTCCCCAGAGTTTTTAAAGACAGGAACTTCAGAGGAACACTTTCAACAAGTTGGTAAGCAAGATGTAGTGAGACATTTATTGTAAAATTTCGAGAGAACAGGAGCCAGTTCAAGAGCACATTTCTTTTGGATAATTCAAGGGATACTGTCAAATCTGCAAACTTTGTAGGGATCTAGGTGGAAAATGAGACAGAGATACTTTGATGAGTCAAAAGCGGAGTTGGAAGAGAATTTCTAAGCAAAGCACTCTGCTTTATCTACAGTGGATGACAACACTTCATATTGATTGAAGAGAAAAGGGACTGAGAATGTGATCTTGTTCAGTACACACTTGCAGAGCTGCTAGTAACCTCTAGAACCAAACATGTTAGAGGCTTTATGGTGTCTAATTCTATCAGCGAATAGTGACTTTTTGGCTCTTTGAGGACATGCCTACATTCATTGTGAGCAGTGACAGAGATATCTATTACAATCTAACCTGTTGCTCTGGTATAGCTGGAAGAAGTGATTCCTGATGGCTGTAGCAACTGAACAGGCAATAGAGAACCACAGAGAAGATTGTGGCTTCATTTGGTATTTTATATGCTGGCATGAAAGAGATATCTATAGACACTACTGTGTGGTCAGATTTGCCAAGCAGACATAGATGCTGTGCATGACATAATTACAGAGAGAAGGTAAGGAAGAGATCAGATAGAGAAGTGTGTCCATCAAAGTTACTAGGTAAATGTGTGTGGAAGTCTACTATTTGAGTGTGAGATTGAGAAATTCAAAGTTTGAATTCCAGTGAATTTAATAGTGCTAGAGTTCTGATGAACTTTACTCTATGCTACCTAGATTCTAAAAATTTAAGCACAATACTAGATTGGTGGCAAGGTCTCATAATTTTACAGTTGAAACTGCTAGATGTAGCTGTAAATTCAATGCTAACAGTTTCTTCTCTCACACTTCTTGCTTGTGGAACTTTCATCCATTTGAAAGTTGTCTTTTTGGTTTCCAGACAACTTTGATCTTCAAAAATTTAAATGCAATGTCAATCGTTATGTCTTAATTCGTGTTCTTTTATTCTCTCTCTCTCCTTAATATTTTTTTCCCCTCATATTCTCTTATACTAAACAACCCATCGTGTCTTAGTGGCTTTATTGCCCTGCTTGGGGTGAAATGATTAAAAAATAAAAAAAGCCTGCAAAACAGTATCTGTGAACTAAGTTCAAATCCTGACTAAGGCTGCTAATGTTAACTTCACAGTAATGATGTTAGTAAAGGCATGAATCCACCTCCCCCTGTGCTCTATCATATGGTCAGATATCATGACAAAATGTCTCTTCATTGACATTTCCTGATGGCAGACAAATAGTGAGTGAATGAGCATTTTTAAAAATCACTTGCCTATAACTATCTTACAAGCCTGCTTAGTAGCTGCTAAAATCTTTTATCCTGTCATCAATCAATATTTCTCTATTTATAAATTGTTTGAGTGTATGTATATTTAGAAATGTTTGTATGTTCTCTATAATTGTATAGTTATGTTTTTTAATATTAGAATTTTAATTATAATTCTGCTTGTTCCTTCGTTAGCATATACATTATGTCCTGCCAATACCTTATAAATAATGGTCTATTCTGTTTTGATTGTGAGGAAAAATAGAAAAGACATATCAGAGATGCTGTTTGGTTTCAGTGAGAAAAATAAAGAAAGAAGGGAAAGATGAAAAAGGCAGTAACACTCTCATATCTCTAATGCCTGCTTCTGTTGAAATGGAAAATCCTGTAATTTTTAACATTTTTCATTTGTACCCTCTTACTTCATTAAATAATGACCTGTATTAATAATTATGATTGTTATTGCAATATTTGGTTAAAGTTGTTAAGTTCAAATATTTAACGATACAAGAGGGGAATTTCCATGGATATTTTATACTCATAGAACTCAAAAGGAGCTTCTTTTGTCATTAAATTAAAAATTAGTATTCGTTAGAACAATCTAATAAAAAAGCTGTAAAATTTTCATGGGCACTGCTCATAACTTTTAATCTCTCATCAATTGTTTATATTTTCCTTTTCTTGATCAGACCCAGATGAGTCATGCCACACCTACAGTTCCTCAAGGGCCTGCAGTTTCAAGCGGTCTTCAGTATCCTACAGCTGAACAAGCACATCATCCTCTGCCTCAAGGTACTCATGTACAACCAAGCCAGCAACAATATCCTGTTAGCTCTACAGCCGCTGGTGCCATGGCACAAATTCCCTCTGCCCAGATGCAGTATTCAAACCAGTCTCAAATACCTCCCAGTGGCTACCAAAGCAATACTGGTCAGCAGATGGACTCTGTATACACAGATCCATATAATTCTTACCGACAAGGCTACCCACCGAATATACCACCTCCTCCATATCAAAGCCAGGCACCTCATTATCCAACCTCAATGTCTACTGCTGCACACCATCAAATGTATACTGGTGCACCACTAACTTCACAGCACCCTTATGTAGACAGGTACCCAACACCTGGGTCAGGGTATCCTTCCCCATCAAGATCTTTACCCAGCCAAAATACTCGCATGCCTGTCCCTCACACATCATCTTATGCCCCAGCAGCTATCTCTCAGCAACAGTACACTCCAAGTCCTCAAACACCAGTATCTGGATACCAGATGCCCACCAGTAGTCACTCAGTCCCGGGAGTGTTACCTAATCGAGCCCCTGTACCTCAGCAGCAACCCCAACAAAACTGGGATACCAGCCATAGCCCTGCTCATAGCCAATATCAAATGCCGACTTCTAGTCAGCCTCAGCACCTTACAAATTGCCCACAGCCATCACCTGCTATATCTGGTTCAGTTGCACCACCTCAGGGATACATTCACCCTGGGAGTACATACTCGGGACCACCTCAGTCCATTCCTTCACACCAGCCAGCTTGGACATCTGCAGGTTACATGCCAACCTCAACACCTCAAATGAGTAACAGTGGTCAACCAAGTGGTCAGTTTGTGGGCAGTGTTCCCACTCAGCAACCCCCACCCCAGCAGCAGGTGAGCCATGTTGGCTATCCACCATCATCAGCTGCTTCGTCATACACCCCCCAGCACCAAGTACCTCTCGCCAGGGTTCAACATCAGCAGCCGATGCCACAAAACCCACCTGCAGCAGGTAAGTTATTTTATGTTTACTAATTTAGAGCAGGTCTCTTGGCAGCTGTGTATGTAGCATAATGTACATAGGCACAGAAAATGGAACTGGCAATCACTTCAAATTCTAGCAATTTCTGTTACATTCACTTTGATACTAACACCTTTGAGAATGGCATATTCTCCCCCCCCACTGCTATGGGTCAAATAGCTGTGTAAACTGAGCTCTCTAGCTTTGGTTGGCAGCCAGTCAAAGAGAAAGACTACTCTGAATTTAAAAACTAAAGTAGGCAACCACTATCTTTCCCAAGCAGTCATGGCAATAAAAAAAAAATTATCAAATTTTCTCAGAAAATTATTGTTGATTGCTAGAATTTATCAAAAAAAAAAATATAACGAGAATTGCTGCTTAATCATCAATTTTCTACTTTCCAACCATAAAGATAGTTTGTTTGGGGTAGAAAATGTAAATGTTTTTTGAAAAGTTGTACCATATTATTCATTAAAATCTCAATGTCAAAGATACACTAAAATATTTAATTTTTCACAATATTAAAAACTAGAAATGAACCAAATGTTTTTTTTTTTAATTTCCGTTTGAAAACATACCCAGTAGAGTATATTTTAAGGTGTTAATTAACCTATCATACTTTTCTGTTTGATATCACTTTTATTATATTTCTATAAATAAACTATAAAAATAAAAAAATATTCTTTCATTAAGAATGAAGAGAGAAAACTTTATTAAAATAACAAGAAAATCAAAATAAAAACCAATTTTATCTTGTCAGCAAAAATCAGTGTACAGACAAACCTCTCATCTATGCCCCCCCCTTCCATCAACAGGGTTTGGATGCAACAGACAAAATATGCAAACAAAAATGAAAAAATCTGCAGGAAAAAAATTTCCAAATTGTCATCAATGTATTTCAAAATTAGTGGGCTTAGCGGAATGAGTCATATTAGTTCTCAAAGTGACAGCTTGGCAGTGGTGGTGGCCTTTCAATTGTAAACAAAGACAGAAAGTATAATGCATTAGTGAAAGTAACTGTGAGAAATCTATTATTTTTGGTATTTTGATTAATATATCAATATTGAGTATATATTTATGTATGCCATATATACATGTTTATAGTATTTACATTATGATTATAACTACTGGTAGTTACTATAGTGGTTTTATAACTCAAATAATCCATTCCCATTTACAGACAATCAGCTTTCATGGACTAATCACCCCCATTAGTCCGTTGATGAGAAGTTCGTCTGTATTTGCAATTTTTCTGCTTCAAATAAGATGTTTCTTTTTGAGTAAAAATTACTTCTGTATAACACAACCTCCCTTTTTGCCATTAATTTTTGTTCAAAATTTCTCATATTATACACTAGAAAACATGGTATATGTATTCGATAGAAATGTAGTCGTCATTGAAATACTACCTTGTTTGTTTCAAGTTAGCTCCAATTTCTACCTGAATTTGCTGTAGATGTGGGTGTACTGAAAAGTTCTCAACCTGTCTCGCTTTTCCAAAATCTGACCAGATGACCAGAGATGGTTAAAAGGACACAGTGATGACCTAGATATTTTTGGTTATTTTATTTTATTTTTTTTTATTTACTTGTGGGAGCACAGTGAAGCTTTTGAAAATGACAAAATTGTTGACTATGCTTGAAGCCTTCTTGGGTGTTACAGAAAAATTTTTTTTTTTTTTTTTTTATTTAAATTTAAAATCCAGCAGACATTAATTAATGAGCAAGAATCACCAATCCCTTGGCTGCAACATCTGATAAAGATTTTTGTCTCTGCTCCATCCACCATTTTGTATCTTACTCTGGTCAGATGATACCAGTTATAAGTGGTGAGGTGTGTGGATGAGAACTCCTTTTTTTTACTTTGTCTTATTTGTGTAGACCAGATCATCACGTGCAAAGAAAATGCATTTTTTCCCAGATGTTTATGGCCATTGGTTGATTTGAGATTGAAATAACCATCGATATAAACATCTAACTGGTTTTCACAAATTACATTTTTATATATGAACATAATGTGTTATAAAAATCACTATATATATATATATATATATATATATATATATATATATATATATATAATGTTATGTTTTAAAAAGGCAAAGTGTTTCAACCTATGACTGTTTCATGTTTTTGCAATTGTCAGGTGGAAAATTCAACACCTGATAATCATGAAAACATGAAACACAGTTGTGGTAGGTTGAAAAACTTTGCCCTTTTAAAACATTAACATGAAATCTCCGTTTTGTGATCTTGATCATCTGATTTTCTTTACAGTCTCAAGCTTTCCAGATTATTTTATACTAATTTGTGTGTGTATATATATATATATATATATATATATATATATATATATATATAATTTTTTTTTTTTTATATTCAAGAACAATTTTTGGAAAACATGTATGACAAAGTGGTAAAAATTTTTGTGTGATGCAATTAGTCCTTTAGGACTTCCTCAGACTAACTTTGTTTCCATTGATTTTAAATAAAAGATTATATCAACACAAAAGGGATATTATACAAAACAACACATTAGTCGCATACCACAATGAGACTGACCAGAATTTTTAAATAAAAAATGCTACTCTAATTAAAAGAAGGAACAATTCACTGAGACGAAAATGTTTAGAAAATGTTTTAATCACTAGATAATCCACAGTAAATTTGTATCCAGGTTTGTACATTTCATCATTCTTGGCAGATCTACTATTACCATAATATGGGATATTTAATAACAAAGTGATAGAAACAAACAAAAAGAAAAAAGAATCCAAATGAAATTGGCTATATTATATATTCAAAGCACATAAAAAAAATTTTTCTTTAAATTTAAAATTCCCAGTGTCTCATTCATGTGAATGTGGAGTCACGTCGATATAAACTTAGTCCAATGAAGTCTTAAAGGACAAAATGTGTCACATGAAAATTTTTTCCATTTTGTCATACATCTTGCCCCCATATATAATTTCAATAAATGAAAGGTGATATATTTTGTTTTATATTTCAAATTCTATCACTGGTGATATGAACATTTTTTAATTCTTTTGATTCTATTTTCTAAGAAAATGTGTTAGTAATACCAGTTCTTAATTTTTTGAAATGATCTTGGTTATATAATACTTTTAAGGGCAAAAAAAACTTAGTGTTTAAAGAAAAAGAAAATAGCATATTGGCTCTAAAAAGTAGTGCTTATTGAAAACGTTATGAATGTATTAATGCTAAAAATACTAAAACAATTGTTTTTTATAAATTGTATCAAAAGGGTTAAACATTAGACTTAAATACTTGTCAGGAGCTACCTGACTGTTATAAAGTAGTCAATAAAACATAAAACATTAATTTATTTATTAATTTTAGCAGGTCTTCAGCACCAGACATTGCCACAGCAGGTCCCCAAGCAGTGGAACCAAAACACCCAGCCACAGCAACAAGTACCTCATCAACAGTGGATGCCTCCTCAGTCATTTGGTAATATGAGCCACCCTCAGTCAATGGTACAACCACAACAGCAGCAACAGCAGCAAATGGGGTCTCCTCACTATCAGTCAACCAGAATAACCCCAATATCTCAAACCTCTCCTCATCATACTTATGCAACTCCTCAACAAGGAATGCCCCATATGGTCAACCAGATGCAGCCCCACCCAGTACAGCAGCCTCATATTATACAGCATGGACAGTCCACCCCACAGCAGTTTCCCCACAGCCTGCCAAGCCAGCAAGCACAATCACAGCCACACACTCAGATGCTGCCAAGCAATGTCCAAAACAGGCACAGCTATCCCCAACAGGCTACATCCCAACACCAGCAGCAGCAGCAGCAGGTTCCTGCCAGCATCAATGTTGGACATCTCCAGCAACCCCAGAGCCAGCCTGTCCCCCAAACACCTACAAATGCACCATCTGCCCAGCCAGTCATTGATCAAACACCACCCTTGAAACCACAGACTGTAGCTACCCCATCTCCAGTTCGTGTGCCACAGTCAAACTTTCAGCCGACAAGTCACAGCCAGCCCTCACCTCAGCACCAGGCACAGAAGCCAGGGTCCACACCACCACAGCCTCCACTCCAGCCTCCTCAGCAACATGGATCGCCACAAATACTCCACCCTTCAAGACTAAGCCGTCAGTGGTCTGGATCCACAGCCTCATCACTAGACGATATTTTATCCTCTAGTCCTGAGAATGTTCGCGAATCGACCATTCCTGACAGTATGCTGACCCCTCAAGTATTGACTCCACAGGAAATTCAACAACAGAAAGAAGAAGCCATGAAGAACAATGCTATCAAGCAGGCTCTCAAACAAGACCCATACCAGGATAAAGATACCCTTGATAAATTTGTGACAGAAGTCGAGAAATTCGAGAAAATGGTGGATGGATTGTACAAACCTACTTTGAATGGACCAAGCCCACTGGATTCAATATGGAAGGTAAAAATTAAATGATGTATACTAGTACTGCCATCTGTGAGGACCACACCCTCTACAGATAACTAATCACAGTTTCACTTATCAGCACTTGTTCCAATTAGCAAAACTTTTCTATCAAAAGCTTTTAGTAAACTAAAACTACTTAGCAAATTATACAGAGTGCGACGGAAATACCTCCCACATTTTAAAGGTTGATAAAAAGAACAAGGTAGCTCTTATTAGTGAAAATTATTACACTGTTGTTTAAACAGAGCTAGTTTTTATTAATTTGGTTTTAAAAATGACATCCTCCTAATAGTGTCTTCTATTTACCTTATACTATTGTAGACAATTTCTAAAGTTTTCAATCACCCAAAGAGTTTCTGGATTTTAAGTGCTTTGAGGTCTTCCAGGTGGCTTTCTTTTAAGTGCTGAACCTGTGGTCCTGACATTTTCAACTAAAAGTATAGATCTTCTCTTCAGAACAACATCATTCCGCCATAACATGAAATGAGCACAAAAAGCTTTCTGTGTTGCAATTACAGATTGGCTAGTTTTAAAAAAATATTTCAACAGCAAACGTTGGTATCTGAAAAGAATAGTAAGACATGAGCTAGTTGAAGACACCATTGCCACAGGTGACAGTTTGAAATATAGGACATATTTCTGCCACACCCTATACTTCAAAGTCACATCTAAATAACAAAATAAAGACCTAATAAAAATTTATTATTATAATGATGTTTCTAAAGAATTTTATTTTTTAATCCAGCATATTTTTATTACTATATGTGTTTATAATAAGTAATCAAATTATTTCTGATTAAAAAATTAAATCCATTAATTCTTTCAGATACGGCTTACAAGAAAATCTGAATGAGTGAAAGTGCTTTAAGGCAAATAGAACTTTGCTTACCTGTGAAGCTCTCTAGCCGTGCAGTTGAAGCACACTAGATGGTGGTTCCTCCTGCAAAGGGGGATCCAGGTTTAAATCCTGCTGGAGGACACATTTTCTTTATTAAGTTTTTTTGGGTGTGCAGGCCGGTAGACAAAATAAGCACTTTAAAAAAATAACAGAGCATCTACTCAAATATGGTTTGAAGTAATATTATAATGGTAATCAAACCATATAATAATTATCAATGTGTATTTATATATGTCCTATTTCATTTGTAGTGAGAAGGCAGTAAGTCAGCTTAAGTCAGTAAATTTACAAGTGACTACTTCCCTTAATCATTTTTATAATCTATACAAATAAAATATGCATTTAGACAAAATTAGTTTTTAATTAAAATGAACTATTTAATCAATCAGAACCTTTACTCCTACATTTCTTAGATTGCAGTCTTATTTGTTCAAGCCTTTCACATGAGGCACTCAGATACCATTGTCTATTAAGTGAACATCTTGTTTCAACTTGGTCTTGAAATAGGCTTTGTCATTTTTGTTTCATTGCATCTCACTATTAAAACTTTTCTAACATATTTTATCTGAATATGTGAATTATGGTATTCTAGATTCAATACGCTTTTTTCGTCTAAATATATAATTGAATAACTATTAAATGATAAATTTATTATTAATATTGTAGGTGTAATTACAAGTTCTCAAATTATTTAAATACATTTTAGTTTTGCATTGATATCCAAGATGCAGCACAAACTTGCTCTATAAATGTTATAGTTAAATTTAAATAATTCCATGTTTTTTACATTTTGTGCATTTAAGAAAATTTTGTCCAGTAAATGTCATAAAAGAAAATTTTCTTGAAGAAAGGAAGAGATTAGAGCAAATACGAAGTAGTGATTACGCCTATCTCAGGATCAGATATAGACATGGTGAAAGGCTAATTGGCAAAGATATTCACAGGTATCATAGGAATGCCGTGAAGCAATAAGAGCACAAACCAGGAAACATGAGGTAAACTAATGAGACAGAAAAAAGAGGGTAATAGTAGGAGAGCAGACCTGAGAGAGAGTAGCACAAAGAAGACGACATGAAACAGAAGACGCTAATGCAAGAAGAGCTGTTATGAGAGAAAATCTAGCTGAAAGTATTTAAGATGAATCAGGAAGAATCTAAGGCAAGAAGAGAAAATATGAGAGTGCAAATGGAAGAACGTCTTCAACAAAAAACAGAAGCACAATGCAACAGAGGGAGGAATGAAAATATTGATGCCAAGAGAAATGCACAAAACAGTTTATATAGTCGATAATTAGTTTGACTGAACAGAAGATTATGAACAACATAACTGTAGTTAAAAAAAAAAAAAAAATAAGCCATCATTTTTTACAGCATGAGTAAATTAGTGATTAATAATCATTGCGATAATGATATAATTATAACTATTTTTATTTTATTTTAAATTTTATTAGAGAACAAAAGAAAATGAATTTAAATTTCCTCAAAACTACCAAAGTCTATATCATCTAATGTCTTTCTTAATTTGAACTTTACCCTTCATCTAAATTTTGGGGTTGGCAGTTTTGGTGTTTCAATTGATGACAAAGGATTAAAATTTTAATTACATTTTTAAAATAAGGTGTCAACTTTTTGGTAAAAATTTTTTGACCTATTTAGATGGCGTGCTATTGTCTATGAATTTCATTATCCATGGTGGGGGGACCCTGTCTACAGAAGATAAAGAGGTCTTACTGTAAAAATGTTGTATATAGAGTGCTGTGCAAAAATAAGTGAACCTCTAAGATAATATTAAAAAAATTTTTTTTTTTTTTCCAGATAACAAATCTTAATTAAAATAGATATTCATTAAGAAAAACCTTTATTAAATGAATTTCAACCATTTTCAAAATTTTTTATCAAGCTGGAATAAAAGTATTAATTAAAAATTAAGACGTACAAAAGTAAGTGATTCCTCCTTTTGAGGTCATGACATTGACCAGTCTTTTTCTTTGATTTTTAAGAAGTTTGTGGCAGTAGTGAATGTCAATTTTTTTACCATTCTCCTTGACAAAATTCCTCAATATTAACTGGGTTTCTTGCTTGTAGTGACTTTAACTTGAACTACAAAATTTCAATTGGGTTTAGATCAGGACTTTAACTAGGTCATTCCAAGACTTGAAATTTTTTTTTTTTTTTTCAAACTCATTCTTTTGTGGATCTACTTTGATGCTTTGGATCATTGTCCTGTTGGAAGATCCAGCCCTTACCTAAACCCAACTTTCAAACACAAGGCAAGACGCTTTTGTTCAAAATTGCTTGGTATCCATAGACCATTGTGATGCTAATGCATATTATTTTGCCTGTTCTAGCTGCAGCAAAGCATCCCCAATAATGCTGACACCAACATTTTTAACTATTGGCACCAAATTCTTCTCTTCAAAAACCATATTAGGAGCTTGCCAGACATATCGCCTATCATTCTAAAAATCTCTACTTTGGTCTCATCCAACCATAAAACCTTTTACTAGAATGTTTCTAGCATATTAATATGAGCTTTGGCATAGTTGAGCCAAGCTTGTTTGTGCTTTTTCCAAAGCAGTGGGTTTTTTTTCTAGGCATTCTGTCATGAAAGCTCACCATTGTTCAGATTTCATCACAATTGAGATGTATGCACATCCAACATTCATTCATTCCCCATTGGCAAGAGGGCGTTGGAGAACTGCAGAATTCGCCTGGGCTTGCCAAAACTAGATGTCTACTTGCTCTTGCAATTATTTTTTGTTGATGGCCATATCTTGATTGCGATGTTATCATACCAAAGGTCTTGCATTTATAAATTATTTGTCACATGGTGGAAACATGATTGGAAATCGTTTTGATAGCTTTTTGTAGCTTTCTTCATCATTGTGGGCTTCAACTATGCAATTTTTTTAAAACTTCAGGAAGTTCTTTTGGTCCTGGCATTTTTTTTTTTTTTTTTTTTTGAAAACTGTGCTAACTGCAACTTTTTTGATAAACATTTTTTTTTTTTTTTTTTTTTTTTTTTTTTTTTTTTGGAAAAACTGTGCTAACTGCACCCTTTTGGATAAACATTGAGTATATTGGTTGCCTGTTGCATACACATCTTACCAAAAACAATGAACACATTTTTTTTTATTTTTTTTTTTTGAAAACTGTGCTAACTACACAAAAAATTAGTATTTGTTGCACACATCTTACCAAAAAACAATGAACATTTTTTTTTTTTTTTTTTTGCACATAAAAAAAAAAAACACTGGCAGTGTAAATGAAGGTGTAAAATGAATGTTCACTTACTTTTGCACATCTTAATTCTCATTTTTTAATTGTTTTTATTCCAGCTTGAAAAAAGATTTTTGAAAGTGATTGTAATTCATTTAATAAAGTTTTTTTTTAATGAATATATAGTTTAATTAAGATTTGTTGATTATCTGGAAAAAAGACAATTCTTATTAATACTATCTTAGGGGTTCACTTATCAAGAATTGGAAAAAGAAAAAAAATTATTTCCACTCTCCTTAAAACAAAAGTTTATTTTTCTCTATCTATGCATTTTTTACGATCAACACCCATTTTTTATCTATGGTCACTTCAAAATAGTTATTAATTTTTTCTTATCACTTGTACCCAAGGGAATCTGAATTAATGTTTGGATATAAAATTTTCTCAAGACAGATGTCACCAAAATTATAATTGGGGTACATTTCTTCTGATTGGTTGATTCAAAACATGCTTTTATTTTATCTGATCCAGGGGAATTGTGAATGCTATTTTGTTGGCCACCCAGATTTCTCTATCAACAACATATGTTTTTATTTTAGCTGATATCTTTGTGGCTACCTTAACGGTCTTTTTCTTATTGTTGGGATGTGGGGAAGGATGGACAGTTTCGGCTTCGTTCAATTTTACTGAATTTTGTCTAGTTTAATCTGGGTTCAATTCTTGGAATTATCTCAAGACATGATTTTTCATTGCATTTTGTTTTTAATCTTCTCAGCTTTTTAATCCATCTTCCTGCAATTTCAACAGTCCACTTAGTAGACTTTCTTCTATTCTTTGTTTCTTTTTCTTTTTGATTAATCCTCAGAGATCTCAGTGTCACAATTTACTATAGATATTTTAACATCTGCTTACTCCTTACATACATCTTAGTATTTCTAATGTCCCTATATATGGAATCATTAGAGGAAATGAATGTTTGGATGGATTTGTTTCATAAATCCTAACCATAATATTCCAGGTTCCATAACAAGCTAGTATTCAAATAATTTCTGCATTTCTATGTCCCTATATTTCCAATGAAATTCTATAGATGCTTTTAGTATTTGCTATATCACTAGATATGAAATCATTAGATGTTTGGATGGATTTGTTTCATAAATCCTAACCATAATATTCCAGGTTCCATAATGAGATAGTATTCAAATCATTTCTAATGCATTTCTATAGTAAAATCATTTGCAATGAATTTATATAGATGCTTTTAGTATTTGCTATATCACTAGATATGGAATCATTAGAAGGAATGAAAGTTTGGATGGATTTGTTTCATAAATCCTAGCCATAATATTCCAGGTTCCATAATGAGATAGTATTCAAATCATTTCTAATGCATTGCTATAGTAAAATCATTTGCAATGAATTTCTATAGATGCTTTTAGTATTTGCTATATCACTAGATATGGAATCATTAGAGGGAATGAAAGTTTGGATGGATTTAATTTGAACTATAGTAGTCCAGGTTACATAAACAGCTGATTACAGCCATATCACATTTAAAGATAGGTTTTCATATAATCACCGCAGTTAAACAATGACAAGTACATAGATGGGTGACTGCTTGGAATACCAGGAGTTGTAAGTTTGAATGTGTGGGTTGTGTAATGCACAACTGCTCGGAATTAGAAATCTAAGAGCTGAGTTCCAATTCCAATCAGGTTCGTTATATTCACTTACATGCAAATATCCTTGGGAAAGATATAAAGCCACCCTTTCTCTCTACAGCTAAGGGTTAATCAGCAGAACTTGTATCAGTAAATCATTATTAAATTCAAAAGATATTTACAATCTAAAAATATTTTCTGGTTTTAATTACTTGCAAATGGTTGATAAACTGGAACAGAAAATCAATCACATGAAAAAATGGTATTCAAATCATTTCTAATGTGTTCCTATAGTAAAATCATTGCCAATGAATTTCTATAGATGCTTTTAGTATTTGCTATATCACTAGATATGGAATCATTAGAGGGAATGAAAGTTTGGATAGATTTCTTTCATAAATCCTAGCCATAATATTCCAGGTTCCATAAAGAGCTAGTATTCAAATCATTTCTAATGCATTCCTATAGTAAAATCATTTGCAAGGAATTTCTATAGATGCTTTTAGTATTTATTTTGCCACTATAATCATTAGAGGAAATGAAAAAAGGTAGTAAAAGTTTTAATAAAATTATTTCCAATGAATTTAATCTCTTTTAGTCCCAAAACCTTTGGATAGCACCTCTGTTTGTGTGTGTGTGTGTGTGTGTGTAATGATGCATACATATTCTCTTAATAAGTTAAATAAATTTTAAATGTCTTCTGTAGAAAGAAATGTTAATAATTGAAATATTTATGTAAATTCATTTGTTTATTTTCTTTTTTTTTAGTCTACTGTTTATTTGTTCTTGTCACTCAACAGTAATCATCTACTTGTAAAATTGTTCCATAATAAAAGCTTAATTTGTTTTTCCTCCTAAAGTAATACTGATATTCTTGTAGGAATTGTGTGATGAACAAGACAAAGAAAGTAGAAAACGTTCAATGGCTGCTGCTCGATGTGATGCTATGAAAAACAGAGATCCACATGTGATGCCTTGTAAGTTTCTAATATTCGATATTAACAAATAACAAAAAAAAAAGGCAAAATAATACAAATTTCCTGTATTTATTTTACATGTTTTTATTTGTTTTTATCCTTTAATTTTTTTTTCATTTTTTGTTGCTTTTTAGCTTGCACATTTTCTATGCCGCTTTTCGTCTTGCACATTTTCTATGCCGCTTTTCGTCTTGCACATTTTCTATGCCGCTTTTCGTCTTGCACATTTTCTATGCCGCTTTTCGTCTTGCACATTTTCTATGCCGCTTTTCGACTTGCACATTTTTCGACTCGCTTTTCATCTTGTGCATTTTCCATGTTTCCCTCTGGTGCATTTTCCACCTCTCACTTTTTGTCTTGTACATTTTCTGATTTGCCTCTCAACTTCTTAATTTTCATTCTTTGTTTTTTGCTTTTTATGTAATTTTTCACTTGAAAATGTACAAAAGTGTAAATGAAAGTTTGGCTGGATTTGTTTAATAAATCCTAGCCATAATATTTTAGGTTCCTTAAAGAGCTAGTTTTTAAATAATTTTTAATGCATTCCTATAGTAAAATAATTTTCAATGAATTTGTATAGATGCTTTTAGTACATTTTCTCTGATGCTTTTCATCTTGTACATTTTCTGTTTTGTCTCAACTTTTAGTTTTTATTTTTGTTTTTTGTCTAGTTTTCACTTGCAAATGTACAAAAGTGTAAAATGTAAAATAAAGTGCACACTTTCAATTTTCTCTTTGCCTTTTTTTATTCCTTCGTTTTTTGTTTTGACTCATAGAGTGCTCCTGTGATATTTTAGAAGCTATGACTATCACAACACACCCAGCATCTTTAAAATGTCTTTAAAAGAAAATAGAGAATTTGACATTAAATAATCTGAAAAGGGTTGATACACTGTAAAGCAAAACAAACTTAGTGTGCTCCCTATGTTAATTAAAAACAACTGATATCTAATGATAACATTAACTACTGTGATAGCATCTGCAACTTCCATTTTTTTTTTTTTTTTTTTTGGACAGTTATTTAAAAATTTTATTTTTTCATTTTTTCCAGATGATGATTCCAGAGTATTGCTTACAAGCCAAAAAGATGATTATATCAATGCCAGTTGGCTTGATGTAAGTACATAAGATTCCTCCATATTTTTCAAGCTGAATCAATACTGTATACATTGAAATGCTAAAAGACCTGTGTTAGCAGGGTGTAAGTTGATGGTACTGACATCTTGAGTCAGTGTGAATGCTCATTGGGCTACTCATGGCAAGGCAATGTGAATTATTGGAGTTTGAATGGGCTATTATAATGGATGCCAGATGGATTGGACATTACATTTCTGAAATTGAATTCAGAGTTGTTGCCCTCCTAGACTGGTTGCCAACCATGGCTAGTGAGCATAATCAGCCCTGCTATTTAACCTATAGGTGAGGGAAAGCAAGTTACAAAAAATAAATGAAATAAAAAATAAAATCTTTGTTTCTTTTGGAAAATGTCAATACGCTGTCAGAATGAAAATATTCAGTTGATATATTAATGACTAAATTAACCTAGAAGTTTTTCCTTAAATGGGCTTACATAAAGAAGAGAGAACAAGTTCATATCCTGGCTAAGGGAAGATAAGAGCGATGGGAAGAAAAAGGGATAGGAAAGTAAGTGCTACAACAATGTGTCTAAAGTCAGTGAAAATGGTGTCAGTTTAGACAGCATCATCATCACATAATATAATAAAATAAATCAATAAATAAAACTAATATATTAAGATAATTGTAATAATAAACAAATTTAGAATATAAAAATTTAATAAAAATAATAAATATAATACTATTAATAATAGTAATAAATAAGTAAAATATAAAATATTAAATAAAAAAATTAAATAAAAATTGTTGAAATGACAAATTGTTGAATCAAAGAAATGAACTTATTTTCAAGTGTCGACATAAAAAATTTAGAATTCCTTAAAAACATTGACTTTGGGGGATATACACTTGAAATGTTGATACTTATTTTATATGGATACGCGTATGTGTGTATGTCTATTCATATGTATGTAAGTATGTGTATATGTAGTTATATTGCTCATCACACATTTTTTTTATATATAGGTCTGTAAATATATTTAATTATTTATGATTATCTTGCTGATGCTTACATCATTTATAATTTTTTATATTTTTTAAAGTATTTGTTAAAAATTAAAGTTTCAGACACTGAGTTTTGTGTGTCATATATATATATATATATATATATATATATATATATATATTTATTAACTTAAAAGTTGCCCTGTCATGCGGTATTTGAGCTAGCTCCTGCAGAGGACACTTGATTGGGCCTTCATCACAATAGGTAGAGAGGAGTAGATGCGATAGGCAACAATAAACTACAGAAGAACTCAAAATTTATTGCAGCATTTAAGTATTGCATTAATATGTAAGTTTACCTTTTAAAAGTTCAAAGATAATTCTGCTGCCACTTAATTTAAAGACAATTTGATGTACATATGTCCTTACTCAATTATTTTTTATTTCATAGGCAACTTTTGTTGGATTTCCTAATTAATTTTTGTTATTCCTAAATTTATTTCCAAGTTATAAAAACTGTTATTTTACAAAATATTTGTCGCAAAAAATCACGTAAAAAAATTACTGAAAACAATCACAGTAATGAAAAGTTGGGAATCCAAAATTTCAGAATTGTGAGTCCGGATCCAGTTCAGAATGTTTCTAATTTGCTCACTGAGTCGGCTTGAATCCAAAATGGTATGGTATGTTGGGCTATGGCCTTTACAAATAAAGTTTGAAAAGTGTGACACTATGACATTCACAGTTATATACGTGTGTGTGTGTTGGCAACAAGCAATTTAAGTTTTATAAAGACATATAAGTATGTCTACAGAAGCAGAAGTGTTAATCGAAATCATGCCATTTTTATGTTGCATAAGATCAAGTATAATAGCAGTTAAGTATAGAATGATGTGTTATGATTGTCATTCCATTTGTATAATGAATTAATCCAAGTGCTATTTTTTTTTCTTTTCCTTCCCAAATTGTCTTCTTGCAGGATCTTGTGTTATCATGTCCCAAGTTTATTGCAACTCAATTCCCATTAAATGTGACATTGGTAGATTTCTGGATCATGGTCTATGAGCAGGGAGCAGAAGTAATTGTCAAGTTATTCAGTGAGGCAGAAGCAGGCAAAGTGAGACATTTTTTATTTTATTTTATTTTCCATACTAAGGTTAAAGACAAATAGCTGAGTTTTTATGATATTAAAACATTTCTTTTCCAGATTTTAAAATTATACTTCAAACGTTTGAACCTCAATTTATAAATATTTGTAGAAAAGTTGTTTTTTGAATTATTTACTTATTTGATGTTTTCATTATTTATCATATTAAGTAAATTGCCAAAAAATAAGTAATACCTACTTAATAATATATAGCCCTTCCTTTTGTTAAAATAATGGTTGGTATGGGACAGGACAATCTGTGGCTGCAGTATATTGTTCTATTTTATAAAACATTTATTCTCTACTAAATCTAAGTTCTTATATATTCTCCCTTTTTCTGCTTTACGTCCTGGATTGTGTAAACTGGACTATGACACTTAAGAAAGTGGAAACCTTCCAGAATGGCATCATGCAATTCATGACCACCAAATTGCGTAACAGATTGCACAACGATACAAACCCGTTTTGAAACAACTAGTCTGATCCCAATTGTCCCCTTAATGAAGTGTAAAACCTTTAAGTTGTATGATCACATCAAGCAAAGAGGAGGATTATCAAGAATATGATTGAAGGGATGGTTACTGGAAAAAAGAAGCAAAGAAGGCAGCCTGACAGCGTAATTGAATGGACACCACTCAATCATGTCTCCTTAAACCATGTTGCTTATGACCATGAACTCTGGAATGAGTTGAGTTCAATGAGTGCACATTCTGCTATAGGCGCAAAGAGTGTTCTATGAACGAATGAATACTTTGATAATATAGGTCAGTAAATTTTCAGTCGCAAGTTGTATTTCTTCACTTTAGATTCCAGGTTTTCTCAATTCCTCAGACACTGCCGTAATAATCCAACAACAGCATACATTGAAGTCTTTGTCAAGTGATATCTTCTATGTTACTCTCACAAGCTATTGTATGTGAGTTCAATCCTCACTTGGTACCTTTGTATTGAAGTTGGCGAAATTAAACAAATACTTGGAGCTAATGAATTTTGCCCTCATTAGGTGATCCTGTATTTTTGTTCTGTGCTTGACTAAATTAAAACATAGTATGTAAAATATGTGGCATTGCACAGCTGGTTGAAATGTATTCATGTAAATACTATTTACTTACCTCCAATCGGTTGTTAACTGGGGCAAGAATTGGCTGGTCAACTTTAACGCCACTAAAACTAAATTCCCTGCCCCCCATTAAAATGTCTGATAGTCAACTTCCTGAGAGCAACTCCCTGCATCTGCTTGGTCTCACGCTGACTGCTGACCTGAGATGGAACAAATACATTGAGTCAATTGCTTCTTCCACCCCATGAGGAAAGTTGGCTCTCTGTGCAGCATGGAAAAATTTTTCTCCCTGAATCGATACTTCAAATATATAAAACAACCATTCGCCCTTGCATGGAGTATTGCTGCCATATATGGGCTGGAGCACCTTCCGCTTACCTCGGAGTTCTCGACAAGATCCAGAGAAGGATATGTAATCTAATTTGGCCCTGATCTAGCGTCTTGCTTGCAGTCACTCTCTCACAGACGCCGCCGTCGCCTCTCTCTGTCTTTTTCTACAAATACTTCCATGGTAACTGCTCTGATGAGCTGCTCTCTCTGGTTCCCAGACTCCATGAATTCAAGCGCCCTCTGAGGCTGGCATCCATCTCACCCTTTACACCGTGAAACCTTCAAATGTAGCCGTCTCTTCTACTCCAATAGCTTCATACCTCGCACCTCTCGCCAGTGGAACACCCTCCCCAATTACTGTTTCCCTGAAAGCTATAATCTCCAACTATTCAAATGTAATGTCAATCGACATCTCCAGTTGCCTTGATCTACCCGCTATCCTTCTCCTCTTCCTTTCTCCTATCACTCTTATCTGCTCTCGCTCCAAACCCCCTGCATCCTAGTGGCTTCACGCCTTGCTTGGGGCACAATGCTTAAAAAAAAAAACTTATATAGTGTCAATGTAGTATATTTGACACTTTTTGTAATACACATCAATTCTGGGAATTAGTTCACATTATTCACAAATTTGATAATGTTTTCATCTTTCAACAAGTTCACACTTATGAGAAAACAAAAAAAATTGCAACAAACGCCATGTACATAATATATATGTATGAAGTCAGATCAAAAAGTATCAGCACTGTTGCTATGGTAATGTAGCTAAAGTATGCAGAGTGAAGCCACTTGATGCAGGTTAATGTTGAACTCTATCTGGAATGCACACTTTGTTATAACATTCTTGTTCACTTCTGTTGGTTATAGCAGTGCTTGGAAGGAAAGTGTATAGAGTGTGGTCATCTCATCACACTATAGAGGTTTGATCAGTGATCAAGGATTATGCAGCAGTTTTTGGCCACGAACAACATTCCCCAGCTTTGATAACCACCATATTCCCCTTGCGACTTTTTTTAAAAATCAAATCCCACATGAAAAAAACAAGATGCCAAGGAAATCAAAGAGAATGTGATGTGGCAGCTGCTCACTTTCCCCAAAAAGGAGTTCCAGAAATGTTTTTATCAATGGAAACAATGCTGGATATAGTGTATGGCTTCAGAAGGGGACTATTTTGAATGAGATTAAATGCTGAATTGATATGTGTTGTAGTTTTCTCTTTATAGCACTTATCCCAATACTTTTTGATCAGAACTTGTGTGTGTATGAATATATATATATATATATGATATGACTGAATAAGGAACAGATAGGAAGAGATAAATTTGACATGTTTTACTTGTTTTATTGCAGCTTCATCAGAAATTTTGGGGGAATGGTATGATGAAGCTGTAATAAAACTGGCAAAACATGTCAAATTTATAAAGGTTTTAACTGCTTGTTTCTTGTTGAAACAGTCTGTTAGATTTAATCCATATTTTTCAATTAATAAACAGAAATATCCAACATACTGGCCAACAGAAAAGGGTCAGACAATTCAACACGGTCCTATAAGCCTAACTTTGCAGACGTGCAAAAAGAAAGATTTGTGGACTGAACGACTTATTTATCTCACTCATACCGAGGTAAGTATTACAATCATGTTACAATCAATATTACCAATGACCTATTTGCCATAATTATTATGGGTTTTTTTCAACATTTTTGTTCTCTTTTTATGCATATTTAATCAATCATATGCACTCATTATATAAATGCTGATAATGTTTTCTTTTTTCTGTCTTTTTTCTCCTTTTCTTTTTTTTTTTTTTTTTTCTCCTTTTCTTTTTTTTTCTCCTTTTCTTCTTTTCTTTCTTTTTCTCCTTTTCTTCTTTTCTTTCTTTTTCTCCTTTTCTTCTTTTCTTTCTTTTTCTCCTTTTCTTCTTTTCTTTCTTTTTCTCCTTTTCTTTCTTTTTCTCCTTTTCTTTCTTTTTCTCCTTTTCTTTTCTTTTTTCTCCTTTTTCTTTTCTCTTCTTTTTCTTCTTTTTCTTTCTTTTTTCTTTCTTTTTTTCTCCTTTTCTTTCTTTTCTTTCTTTTCTTTCTTTTCTTCTTTTCTTTCTTTTTCTTTCTTTCTTTCTTTTTCTCCTTTTCTTTCTTTCTTTCTTTCTTTCTTTTTCTCCTTTTCTTTCTTTCTTTCTTTCTTTCTTTCTTTTTCTCCTTTTCTTTCTTTCTTTCTTTCTTTTTCTCCTTTTCTTTCTTTCTTTCTTTTCTTTTCTCCTTTTCTTCTTTTCTTTTTTCTTTCTTTCTTTTTTCTCCTTTTCTTTTCTTTCTTTCTTTTTTTCTTTTCTTTTTTCTTTCTTTTTTTCTTTCTTTTTTCTTTTTTCTTTTCTTTCTTTCTTTTCTTTTTCCTTTTCTTTCTTTTTTTTCTCAATCTTTTTTCCTTTTTCTCGTATTTTTCTTTGTATTTTATCCTCTCTCTCTCACTCACACACACACACACACAAAAAAAACAAAAAAAAAAAGCCAGTCCATTCTTTAGCCTTTCTATTCTGGCAAACAAATTATCTTGTTCTACTTCCATTCAAAGAAAAACCAAGATTAAATTTGACAAGTTAGTGAGGTGGCATAATAATTTTTTTTGTTGTTGTTTTCTTGATGAAAACTTATATACATAAGATTAATGAAAAATATTAATTTTCTTCTACAGACCAAACAAGCTCGAACTGTTGTTCACCTTCAATACCAAAATTGGCCTGTCAGGTGAGTCATATATGCACAACTGTGTACAAATAAACACACTCAAAGGGTTGATGAAAAGTTGTCAGCCTGGTCCACTTTCCTAAAAAAAAAAATAATCTCATAATTGATCAGATTTTGAGCCAAGAACTTTTGTTTTTTTTTTTGTTTTTTTTATTTTAGCAATGACGTTCCCCCTATACAAGACCCAAGAACCACCCAAGGTAGAGGATTACAGAGTAAGAGGCACAGTTTATAGGGCTATGTGCAGAAGATAACCGTTGACCCTAGACTTAAACAGGTTAAGATTGTTGTGATCTTGGTAATTGATTCAACAAAGCAGTGGTTTGTGTGAAGAAACTGCTCAAATAGAACATATATCTCACCAGTGGAATACAAAGGGAATGAAGGTGGTTAATTACAATAGCTGGCCTTAGCTGTCAAGCTTAGAACTGGTCTCATCAGACATTGCTTTTGAAGTAGTATTCATATGAAATTATATTGTATGATTGTTTGTACAAGTTCATTCCATCCGAGATCTTTTGATATTCAATGGAATTTTAACTTTCCTGATTTTTTTTTTTGTATAATGGCCTGTCCATTTCCCAATCTTTTTCATAGGAATTCTTATTCTCCTCACTTAACAGAGAAGGTGAACGCCTGGTGTTGATTTCCATTTCACAACTGATCCTATTTAACTCTAGTTTACACGTATAAGATTCAAGTACGTTTGAATTAACCTTATATAACGATATATTCAGTGTATTTTGTCCTTGTATGTAAGTATGAATGCTATGCCTGTTGTTTGTTTTTGCACTGTCTTGAAAAATCATACTTGTTTTGATAATTAAAACAAATTTTGCTGGACACTGTATATACTTTTCGTGCCATTCTCCCCAACTTCCAAAACAAACTTTTTTTTTCTCTTTTGAAATTCCGTAGAACTCTGACATGCCATAGACATTTTCTATATGTCATTCATACTTCTATTATTAACGTTTGCCACATCAGTAGCTGCCAATTCTATGGCCTGAGCTACTTTAAAAGCATTTCCAAGTGACATGCCCTCATATAATGTTCTCATTATTTAATTCATACACAAATTTGTCCCATAATGCTCTTTCTAAATATATTCCAAATTCACATGTCCACAATAAACGTTTAAGCCAAACAAGGAAATTGTAAACACTCATACCCATCCTTTTGTTTGACATTATAAAATCAGTGACTTTCTACGATGACGAGGTGTTTGGGCCTGAAATGTTCTTGCAACAAATGCTTAATTTCCTCAAAAGTTCTATCCCTTAACTTCTGTAGTGGACATAAATCTTCCAAGACTGTATGTCTTTTCACTTATGGTGCCTATTGGATTCGTTATATTCACTTAGGTGCAAATATCCTTGGAAAAGGTATGAATCCACCTCCATTCATCCTAGCTATGGGTCAATTAGTAAAATTTGTATCACTAAAACCATTATCATCTCAAAAAAAAACAAAAAAACAAACTTACAATCTGAGAATATCTAATTAAATAACCTGCAAAGAGTAAAACCATAGAAAACGAATCTGACACCTGAAGAAGGCTGGAGAGTACACTGGCTGAAACATTGTTTTTATTGTGATTAAGACATGAGTCTTAATGTAAATAATACAAATGGGTGTTGATTATTTCTTTTCCTTTTTTTTTCTTCCTCCAATTAATGACTCTTGAACACAAAAGAATATTAAAATTTTCTCCCTCCTTCACCTGTTTAGCACTTCTTTTTTTTTTTTTTTTAAATGCAATCTTAGCTCTTCAAATTCCATTTCTTTATTGACTGTGAAATCATTTGGAATTCAAAATAGTCTTTCACTTAGACTGTCTGCTATCCAAGGCTCAAGAGTTCTGTCTACCCTCCTATTTAGCCCCTAGTGGGATAGGAAGAAGATATTGATTTTGTGTCTTTCCAATGGACATTTATGAGAAAGTGAACACAACAAACTAACCTAGAATTTGAACTCTACTTCTCATATCAACATCAGTGACACTAACTGCACATCCCAGTATTAAACTCTATATTAATTTATGATCTTTTGCAATTAGCACATTGTCATTATTACTGTTGTGACTAATTCCTGTTTTTCATCAATGCTATTTAGTCTTTTGAAAGTCCAATCATTCTATACTTGGCTGGCATTGAAAAAAAAAAATTGGTGCTAAAGGTGATAACGAAAAGGGTTTATTACAGCATAGATGGACAGGGTTGGCCAGTTATCAGCATATGGAACCTCAATCAGAACTAAATTTTAAACATAGTTGAGGTAACTTCTATTCACTTTGTATTCATTGCCATGGGGAAGTCACTCCTCCACTTTTTCTGCTTTATCCTATCAGTAGATATTTTGAGAAAATAACTCTTCACTTTCATGCCACAGAAAAGATGGTTGATGAATGAACACATGGCAAACCACTCTTTCATAATTATCTGAACATAACTGCTCAATCAAGGGTAACAACAAAATTCTGTTACTTCATAGTCATTGTTGAAACAGATTAACAAATATTTATTTAGCTAGAGGAACACCGAAAAAAAGTGACACAATGAAATCGGACATAGCTAATAGGGTAAGATGAAAAACAATATTTGGCAATCTTGCCCAAAAAATGGTGTGTCAAAAGGACAGTTTTTCCTTTTGACACTGCTATTATTTTAACTACCTTTCTTCATTCTTGTTTATTTACACTTTATTTATATTGTTTATTGATATGATTGGCAAAATATTGGCTAATTATTAATCAATTCAAACTTTATAAAATAGTAAATAAGGATTTCCTTATAGTTGGTTCACATATGTTAATAATTCCGTAAATGTTTATAAATCTATGAATAAAATTTTTTTTTATTTATTTCTTTATACATTGGTAAATGATAAATATTGCATTAGTTTTTAGAATGTTGTAAATATAAAATTATTCTAGTAACTAAACAATGTAATAAATAGATAGTGTTTAATATTTTTGTTGTAAATTCTTAAGAACAAAAAAGTATAAATTTACTTTCATCATGTTTAAGTTTTATTACAATTCTAATCATAACTTTTTAAAACAATAAATATTTCTGAGAAGTGAGGGTAGTTAAAATAATAATGGTGTCAAGGGAAGAACCAACCTTTTGACATCCCGATTTTTTTTTTTTTTTTTTTTTTTTTGAAGACATGAAGGTAGCTCAATATTTTTTTTATTTTCATAGTTTATGTTTGATAAGACTATATATTAATAATCTATCATATGATAGATTAATTAACACCTTAAAACTACCAGTTATGTCTAGTTAGCACTTTTCCCCAAAAATAAGTTTTAAAAAGAAAATTAGGAGAAACACACAATGGCCAAACATCCAGTTTATTTCTATTCTTTAATATTGTGAAAAATTAAATATTTTAGTGAAATGTATGTATGACAGGGATTTTAATGGATAATATGGTACAATTTTGAAAAAAGAATTTACATCAAGATGGCTGTACTATGGGGGTTGTACTCAAGGATGTAATTTATTCTATTTTTAGCTTCAGAACACTGGGTCTTATTATACTTAAGAAAATATGGTACCTGAAATCCCTAACTTTAGTATTGAAATTTAGAAAATATACATAGGTACATTAATAAATTCGCAGCCTAATGATGAAAAAAAGCGGTTATTCAAAATAACAAGTATTTATTTTTTGGTATAATTTCCTTACGTGTCAAAAAAATTTCGCGGTAAAGATATTCTGGATTATTCTGTGAAAATCTTTAGATCAAAATTTAAGCAATAACTGTTGTGCTACAGACTTATTGATCTATTCTCATAGATTCTACGGTGCTGTATGTCAAACTCCAAAAATTAATTTAAAAAAAAATTACCTGGGGATGTTATACTCAAGGATGCAATTTCTTACCTTCAGAAACCCGAGATCATATGTTACTCAAGAAAATATGCTATCTGAAATCGCTAACTCTGTAGTATTGAAATTTATATAATATACATAGGTACATCAATAAATTCATAGCCTAATTAGGTGGAGAACTTCTTTCAAATAACAAATATTTATTTTTCAATGTAATTTCTCTTTTTGTCAATAAAATTGAATGATGAATGTATTATAGATTAAACATTATTCTGTGAAAATTTTTAGCAATAATTGTTAAGCTACAGACTTATTGATCTCCTTTAGATTTTATAGTGTTGTGTGTCAAATTCCAAAAATTATTATTTTTTTTTTTTTCTCTCTAGTGGCTTTCCAGAGAAAATTCCTTATCTCCTTCAGTTCATAGCAGAAGTCCATGCTTTTTACCGACAACAAAGAAGTCTGACAAAACCAGTGATTGTCCATTGCAGGTGAGTACTTTTACTTCTCATTTGACATTTTTCATTTCAGCACCCCCCCAATGTCCAATGAGATTTTGAAAGTGATAAAAGAGAGACACCTGTAAATGTTATTTTTACTTACCAACTTACAATGCATTATTTTAAAATCGGAGATTTCCCCAAATCTTTGGGCCTTTCTGTGGATGAGAAACTTTTCGTTTTTTTTTTTTTAACATGATTTACTTTACAAAATTATTAAAATATATAAGAAGAGATTTTCAACCTATTTTAGTGAATTTATGTAGCAAGAGCAAAAAAAACAATGGTCGGAAAATGCATTTTTCCTTTTTTTTTTTTTATAACATGATTTACTTTACAAAATTATTAAAATATATAAGAAGAGATTTTTCAACCTATTTTAGTGAATTTATGTAGCAAGAGCAAAAAAAAACAATGCTCAGAAAATGCATTTTTTTTTTTTTTTTTAAATCAAAATTTATCATTATAGTTAATCATTGATATGTATTTAAATTTTGTTGTTTAAACATTTTTTTGTGATGTTACTGAACACTCATTGCCACTTTTGTGATACTAATGAATACTTATCGTTACTTTCTTAGTGCTCGTTGTAGTGGAGATTTTATAATTGCAGATACAACTATAGTAACACCGTTGATTAATACTGGTGTCAGCTGCCTTTGAATATCACTTGCATTAATACTACTTGCTTGATAATACTCATTCGAACAGTAATTTGTTGCTATAACAAGCAAAAAACACCCTAAAACAAGCCCCAACCTACTTAAAAACAAGCTCCATTTACCCTTCTAACAAGCAGAAAACTCTGAAAAGTAGACACCTCAAAACTAGCCTTTTAAAAATAACTAAAAAAACCTCTTTAAAAAATGGCAAACTTATTTAAAAGAAGAAAACTTTTAAAGCTAAGATTTAAACTACTTTTACTTAGATTTATAAATTATCTTTTTAATAGTATAAAATGGCCACAGCAAGAAAACTTAACCTTATGCAACAAGTAGCCAATCTGAAAAAATACATCTTAGAAAAAAATATCTCTGAAAGAAGAGGAGACTTTTTTTAAACAAGAAGAATTTGCTAAACAACAACAACCTATTATAACAGCTTTAGAAAAACAACAATTACCTTTAGTAAATGCTATAAAAGAAAATACAAAACAATTATCTAATGCTTTTAAAACACCAATGGAAGAAATAGATTATAATTATTTTTTAATGCCAAGAAAATCACCAGGACCTCTCGGAGCAAAGTACTTATCAAATGATGAACAAAAAAAGAATAAAAAAAGTTTTTATTCTGATAGAGAGGATATTTTTTTAAAAGGAAATAAAATAAAATTTATTGGAGAGGATAATATTTTACTAAACAATAAGGAATATGAAATGACTGATACACTTTACAGAGCACTATCAAGAGATAAAAATTTAACATGAGATGATTTTACAGAAGAAGAAAGAAACACTTATTTAGAGATAGCAGATGAACTAGACTTTTTTAGAACAAAAGAAGATGGTGGTTTTAACAGCTTTGATTATAAAAATATTTTTAAACCATTAAAACAAAGTAAAGATGGAATTTTTATTGAAGAACTAGATTGGGATTATAGTACAACAAACTTACCAAAAACAGGTACCTCTCTTTATAATAAAGAATACCTCCAGAAAAAACTATTATACTTAAAAGCATCAAGAGCAGCAGGTAATACAGGAACATTAGAAGATGAAAAAAGAATAGAAAAATATATTAATAAAACAAGTAAAGCAAAAACAGAACTCTTATCTTATTTACAATATCTCTATGAAACAAATCAAATATCAAAAGATTTTTTATATAAACTAACCAAAAAAATAACTAATTAAAATGTATATCAAAAAAGAAATAAAAGTAAAAAGAAAAGCAAAAGGAGATGGTTTGTTTACCGAATTATTTAAAACACTATCATCTATAGTAACAAAAGAAGCTGTAATAGAAGGAAGTAAAAAAGGAATACAAAAAGGATTAGAAGAAGGATTAAAAATAGCAGGAAAAAAGGGAACAGAAAAAGTAATGGATTTAATTAAACCAAAACGAAAACCTAAATCAATACAAAAAATAAAAACAAAAATAATAAAAGGACCAAAAACAATTACAACAATAACAGAAAAAACACCTAAAAATAAAAAGATAAAAAAAATAGACAATAAAGTAATAGAAGATATTTTTGGTGAATCTCTCAAAATAGTTATTTAAATTTATTTTTAAAAAATGACGGGCTGTGAAATCTTTAATCTCAAAGAAATAGAAGCTAATCTTTACAACGATGACTCAATAACAGAATATGAGTACCACAAGTTTACTCCTGTTAATAGTAACAATAATTTAAACACTGGAAATATTAATATTGTTATCCAACAACAAGATCTTATTACTTTACCATGTGAATCATACTTTTATTTTGAAGGAAGATTAAGAGATAGTAATGACGCTGTTATCTCTGCAGCAAAAGATCAACTAGTATCACTCATTAACAATGCTATGATGTATCTCTTTAACCAGATAACTTATCTTATTAATGAACAAGAAGTAGAAGTTGTTAATTACCCTGGACAAACAAGTACTATGATAGGAATGTTAAAGTACTCCCCTGATTACTCTAAAACAAGTGGACTACAGTTTTGTTGGTTACCAGATGCAGAATATAGAGATGATAAATCTACTCCAACTCCAGATAATAACAATACTAATATTAACATGGATATCAGATCTAAACTTAAAAACTTTGGATTTTGTGTACCTCTCACACATATCTTTGGATTTATGGATGATTACAAAAGAATCTTATACGGTGTACAACAACAATTTAGATTAAGAAGAGAACTCAATCAAGACTTTGTACAATATGGAACAGGAATACAAGCTAATACACAATTTAAAATTACTCTTGATAAAGTATCACTCTTTATGCCTGTTATCAAAGCAGACTTAGAAGAAGAAAAAAAACTCTATGAATTAGTAGCTAGTAATGAAGTATTAAATTTAATGTTTAGACCTAGATTTACTCAGTCTGTATCTGTACCATCTGGTGTATCTAGATTTGAATGGAATCTACAAAACACAACAGGTAAACCTAGATATGTCTTAGTAACCTTCCAAAAAGATGATCTCTTAAGTAAAGCTAATTTTTCTAACATGGATGTAGAAAATATCTCCGTTGAGTTAAACGCAAGAAGATATCCTTTACAGGATCTAAATATTGATTTTACAGATAATAAATATGCTAGAGTCTTTAATGAGGCATACTCTTTTAAAAAGAATCAGCAAGTATCAGTTATCTCAGTTATAAATCCTTATATCCAATTTATGTCTTTGATGTCTCTAGATATACTAGTAGAACAAATACCTCTGCATTAGATATCCGTCTTAAAGTTAGATTTAGTAAAAACATCCCTAATAATGTAGTTGCTTATGGAACACTTATCTCTGATAACTCTATCTTTTTAGATGCAAATGGCAAACGATTTAATATTATAAAATAAAAAAATGGGGATCGAAAATTTATCATCGATACCTGTAATACAAAGAAATAATCACGAGATCCTCCCAAGAAGTATAAGAGGAATAATAGTTGGAAAATCAGGAAGTGGAAAAACAAACTTATTAATGAACTTACTTTTAAAAGATGGTTACTTAGATTATGATAACTTAATGGTCTATGGTAAATCTTTATTTCAGGAAGAGTATAAACTCTTAAAAAAGTTAGAAGACTTTTCTAAAGATCAAGTGTTAAAGTTATTTAGAGCACAAAATACTTATGATATAGAAGAAGTAATAAAAAAAGTTAAATCTTTTAATCTTAAAATAAAACCAGATATCAAAGTTACTTTTTTTGATAATGATGAGGATATCTTAGATCCGGCAGAGATAAGTAAACAAAATAAAAATCTTATAATTTTTGATGATATAATAGGAGAAAAACAAAGAGTATGTGAGGACTACTATACAAGAGGTAGACACTCTAACATTGATTGCTTTTATATCTCTCAAAACTTTTTTAAATTACCTAGACAGACTATAAGAGAAAACGCTAATTTAATTATGGTTTTTAGACAAGATAACAAATCATTAAATCACATTTACCAAGACTACGTATCAGATGATTTTACCTTTAAAGAGTTTAAAAAAATGTTTAATAAAATCTTAGAAGATCCTCATGGTTTTTTAACAATAGATCAAACTAAAACAAAAAGAGATGGAAAATACAAAGATAAACTTACACCCCTTTACTTTTTATAAACTTAATAAAATGGATGTCTTTGGAAGAAGTTTAAAAGAGTCTAATATACAATATAGTGAAATAAAAAATACTGATTATGTTAAAAATGGGATAGCACAAGGAGAGATAAACATGAATAATAAAAAAATAATTAATGTAAAAGATCCTAGTAATCCACAAGATGTAGTAACAAAAAAATATTTTCATAATAATAAAGCAATAAATAGCTCTGGTAATATTAACATGAAAAACAGATTTATCTATAACTTACAAACAGGGACAAATGGAACAGATGCTGTTAATAAATTTTATGTAGATACTAACACTTTATTAAAAAATAAAGATATTGATCTCACAAATCACAAAATAACTAATTTAGCAGAGCCAACTAATCCACAAGATGCCGCTACAAAAAAGTACTCTGACTTAAATAGATGGTATGGTGATATGGGAAATAATAGAATAGTTAACTTAGGTGATCCAACTAATGCTCAAGATGCAGCAACAAAAAAATATGTTGATGCAAAAAATTTTTCAGGTGATATGAAAAATAATAAAATAATTAACTTAGCAGATCCCGTTAAACTAACTGATGCAGCAAATAGAAAATATGTTGATAATGCTATCTTTGTTGGGGATATGTCTAGAAATAAAATTGTTAGACTAGGAGATCCAACAGATCCAGAAGATGCTGCTAATAAAAAATATGTTGATAATAAACTAAAATCAAAAGTTATCTCTT